TTATATCTCGTATAGATTCCTTGCAATTGAATCAAATGTTGTGTTCAGAACAGCAAAAAAATAAGTTTTTAGATTTTTATAAAAAAGCTTTTACAGGTCTAGGCAAGTTTAATAGACCTCTTAAATTGAAATTAAAGGATAATGCAAATCCTTTAAATGAAATGGAAAAGATAGGAATTATTTCACGTGTCAATGAACAACGTGAATGGATTAATAGTATAGTAATTGTTGAAAAAGGAGACAAAATTAGAATTTATATTGATCCAAAACATTTGAATCAAGCATTAAATAAGTTTCATTTTCCGATTCCATCCCTTGATGAATTAAAGCAAGATTTGAAAGATTCTCAATACTTTACGGTTTTAGACCTCAAGGATGGTTTTTGGCACATAGAGTTGGACGAAGAATCCAAAAAATTGTGCACGTTTAGTTCTCCTTTTGGCTTGTGGAAATTTAATAGAATGCCTTTGGTATAAATATTGCATCAGAAATCTTTCAAAAGTACATGACGGATACTTTTGGCGATTTACCTGGAGTCAAATTTTATATTGACTATATTATTGTTACTGGTAAAACGCTCAGAGAACATGATGAGAAGTTAGGAAGATTAATGGTCAGGGCATTAAAGTCTGGTGTGAAATTCAATCAGAAGAAATTACAATTCACACAAAGTTCAGTAAAATTCTTTGGCCATATCTTTTCTAAGAATAAAGTAGATGTTGATCCAGAAAGGATTTCAGCAATTAATAGTATTCCAAATCCTAAAAATCTGGAAGACGTACAAAAGTTTTTAGGAATAGTTAATTATATAAGGGACTTAATTCCCAATTTACCTTCTTTAACAGTCAATATACGTAATTTGTTAAAGAAGGATAGTGAATTTTTATGGCTTGATAATCATCAAGCTGAGTTTGACAGCATTAAAGAAGTAATAAAAAACGTCACCTCATGTACTACATTTGATGAAAATATGCCAATAATTTTAGAAACCATGTTTAGGTGCATGTTTAAAACAAGGAGATAAAGTTATTAGCTTTGCTTCACGTTGTCTTTCTGAAACAGAAAAGGAGTACGGTCGGATTGAAAAAGAATTTTTAGCCGTTTTCTTTGCGTGCAAAAAGTTTCACAATTATATTTATGGAAGGAAAGTTACTATAATAATAATATATAGTATAATTAAAGCTACACAAATATGATTTAGATTTGAAATACAAGCCCGGCAAAAGCATTCCTGTAGCAGATTACTTATCTCGATACGTTTCAAATAATTTGATAGCTGTAGATTTTGAAGAGAATTTCATGAAACAAATGATTCATTCAGTGAATATTTGTGATGATAAACTAAAAATCTATCAAGCTGAGACAGATAAAGATAAAGAATGCTCGTTGTTAAAGAAATACTTTGCTGAGGGCTGGTCGTCAGACAAATCAAAATTACCTGATGAAATAAAATTCTTTTATAATTTGCGAAATGAATTTTATGTTTCGGATGATTTAGTATTTTATCAGGATAGAATAATAGTTCCCAAATCATTGAGAGAAAATGTTCTTAAAGATCTTCATGAAGGTCACATGGGAATTACTAAAACCTTACGTTTCGCGAAAGAATCAGTTTATTGGCCTTCATTAAATGTTAGTATAGAGATTTTAATTAAGAGTTGCGAAGAGTGCAACAAGTTTCAAAAATCGAATAGAAAGGAACCAATAATTCAACACGAGATTCCTTTTCGATCATTTGAGAAAGTCGGATGTGACATCCTTGAATACAGTGGAAAGAGTTATCTTGTTGTTATTGATTACTTTTCAAAATGAATTTCGTGTAAATATTTAAGTTCGAAGAATTCGAACGCTGTAATTTCTAAATAAATTGAGATTTTTACAGAATACGGTTTTCCAAAGACTATTATTGCAGACAACATGCCATTTAATTCATTTGAATGTAGAAGTTTTGCCCATGAGTGGGATATTAAAATAGTCACTTCAAGTCCTCGTTATATACACTCGAATGGTCTTGCAGAGAAAGGTGTAGGAATAGTTAAAAATATGATGAAGAAATGTGATAATTTCAATAAAGTTTTAATAGCAATTTATAATTACAATAACATTCCGTTAACGGATATTGACTTGTCTCCTAGTCAATTGCTTAATAATAGAAGAATAAGAACTAAAATTATTGTGAAAGATAGCTTGCTTGAACCAAAGTTAAATCACAATTCAGGTGAAAAATTCGAAAAGAAGCAAACTAAAACCAAAGTTTATTACAATCGAAATTTTGTAGCGGTGTTGGGGGTTCAATAAAGGAAAATGGTGTAATTGGAACTGGATTTATAACTCTTGGTTGTTCTGTATGAAAGTCTAGCTCTTTATATGGGTCGAAAATTTGAACTAATGGAATCACAATAGGTCAAAAGCCATTTACAGATGAATCAAAAACTCTATAAACCGACAATGACTGCACTAATCTAGGGTTTTCACACGAAATTCTTCCAATGTCTAGTTCTAAATATGTGAAATGTCTATGAAAAAGATCATGTGTCTGAAAACTCATGTGGTCTTCATTTATTTTTCAATTTTAGTGCCAATTTCAGCACCTTTGGCTATGCCTTTAATTTAAATAAACAATAAATGTATATATCTACTATATATGAACTAAATATGAACTATTGCAATTTATTTATTGCCATTAATTTGGGATTATAGATTCACAAAATAAATTCGATGTATATTTCTTGAATGATGATAGTAAACTCCCCTTTTCCGTTTCCCCTATCCTCTTTTGTGTGACGTCGCCTTGTCATAGGCACGGCTACAATTTATATAAACGTAATGAGTTTGATTTAAATCAGAAGGTGTGGGTACAATTGCCTGATAACACTTGGTCTAAAGGATCAATCGTTAAGAAATGTTCAGAGCCTAGATCATATGAGATTTGTATGGATAATAATAGGGTTATTAGACGAAACTCTAAATTCATTCGACCTGATAGGTCAACAGTATCCAATAAAATTGATCAAAAGTAATGCAATGAGTCAAGTCGATACAGAATCAATCTCGATAACTTCTTCGCTGACAACTCACTGCATGAACCTCCTCTGAATTCTAATGCAAATGCCGCATCTCCCGTTCATCACCAACCAACTGCAACCTCAACAGAGAGTAATTCGAACCAACAACCGTTCCGACGATCATCAAGAATCCCTAAACCAGTACAAAGATATGGGAATTGATAAGAGAAGGGAGGTGTAAAATAATGATCTCAGTAATCCGAGAAAAACAGTAAATCAGTTGAATATCTCGAACAAAAGCATAAAGACGTGTTTCATTGAAAAATCAAAAATAAAACAGTTTTGATATTTTTTTCAGTTTGGGGTCGCTCACAAACAAGGCACATTATTATTATTATTATTATTATTATTGAGTTTTATTCACTACTTCTCCTTCTTTTTACACATAATCATGACAAAGATCATACCCAACCATCAAGTATTTTATATCGTTGGAAATATTGAGCTATAACAAACTGAAAACAGATTTTAAAAATATTTTGTTTTCTTAAAGCTGGAGCGTTTTAAGTGGTGGGAAAACCATACAAGTCGTCAGATATCAAATGTACCCAAAATATCGACATATTTTAAACTTTTTGAAAAAAATTCTTTGCGTGCTGTTTTTAAATGTCATTTTCTATTAGAAAACATTAAAAAAAATATTTGTAATTATTGTTTTGTAATTTTTATGAGATATTTTTGATTTTGATCAAATATTCAACGGCTTATTAAAATCAATTTATCTCAAAAGTGTACCGAAAAATTTTTAAAGTTCATACAGTTTTGAAACTAGAAGTCAAGGGCTTTATGATGATATGGTTTTACTCCTTAAAGTAGTCGTCATCTAAGATAGTTACGGCGTGTTTGAAGATATTTTTCCTAGGATTTTCATACATTTACTAGCATATGAGTACAAAAAATATATCGAAAAAAATTATGTACTTCACCAAACATAGTTTTTATATAGGACTACTAGAAACTGAAACCCGTTTTTTTATTTTAATTAACCGTTGCAGAGAGTTTTGACTTCAAAGTTGGACTGTAAAAATCTGTTTTTTTGCTATTTTCCGACTTCAAACAGCCATAAAATTGCAGGAACAGCACCAAATGACTTGAAATTTGGCATAGAAGTCAGGTTTTATGTCCTCTGCAAGAAAAATTTCACTTGAGAACGTAATTCGAAAAAGTCCCAAAATCAAAGTGAAAGTCCCTCTTTTTTCAATTTTGCCCCATAGTGCAGCTGTGCTTTCGCACAGCATAAGTTTGTAAACTAGACTCATACCATAAAAAGTCTTCATCGATGAACTGTGCTATCGCACAGCATAATAATAATATAATAATATAATCCTTTTATTAACTTTAGTGTAATCATGGCGGAACAGATTGAAAATTATTTGATATTAACCTATTCCGTTTTAAATCAAATGAAAGAAGAAAAAAAAAATTGGATTACAACATGAGTTAATTAGTATGTTAAGAAATAAAGTTATGGTTGAAAAAGTAAACAAAAAAAAACCAAAAAATTATACATAAAAAAGTAATTAAGATAGCAAATAGAGAAATTTACGTTCGCACAGCATAAGTTTGTAAACTAGAATTAAACCATAGAAAGTCGTGTAACGTATTTTTGTGATTCAAACTCGTAACGGCTTTTTGAAATTTAAAATTATTGAAAGTTGTTCATATGTTATGTAAAAATAAGCTAAGCCTTAAAGAGCAAAAAGTTCAATTTATTTGTACTATAATTATTGAATATTGTATTGTTACCGGAAAGATAAGTGCATGCAAAATTTCAGCTCGATTGGATTAGTATAAGTGGTCGAAAAATTGATCGCATGATTTGAAATTTTTTGCAAACAAACAAGAAAGCAAGTTAAGAAAAACGTGGTAAAAAGGCTGACAAAAATTTTTTATCGACGTATAAATATATCTAAATAGTTTTACTTTTTATAGAATCGCTTTATTCTTATTTCAATAAAATTAATCTTATTTACTATTTCATATGTTCATTTTAATATACAAGAAAGTGCTTAATATAAGAAATAACAATTCACATAAGTGCAAACCAAAAAGGCGTTTTGTTTTTGAATTAAGTTCAAAAAAACCTTGATGCTTTCAAAAACAGAAAGTGTCTAATTAGGTACAATAAAAAACACTTCTTTTTCATAATTTTTTTTTTTTGTATTCTCTCATATTCAGATAATTATTTACATGATAAAGCTGAAAATGATGATTTATTTTCAGTTTAATTTATATTGTATTTATGTTATATAAAGTTTTTTTTTTTATCGTCTCAGCATAAAACCATTATGACAAATTTTATTTAAAGTATTCTTAAACAAAAAATATGAAGGAAAATAAAGGAATCAAAAAAAAAAAATGAAAAAAAAAATAGACTATAATATTGGCATTCATTACTGATAGAATCATTAAAAAGTTATAAACAAGCTGAACATTAAAATTGTGTGCTAATTGACGCATTTAAAACGTCGGTTGTGGCTGTTGATTTTGACATTGAGGGCAGAACCAATTCCCTTTTGGAGGAACTAAAATGCCGACGCACTCGAAATGGAACCACTCAATTTGGCAGCTTGGTCCATCACATCCAATCATTCCTTGAAGGTCATCATAAGGCCGTCTACAATAACAGTAAACACGTCCATCATTGTCAACCTGATCCTGAGGCGTCTCTGAATTCGTTAGTTGAGTATGGTTGTATCGTTGAAAATATTGCTGTGTATTTATAATGGCTTCCTCAAGTTTTTGCTTTTTTTCTTCTGCCAGTATTTTTTGAGTGAAATTGGAAGTGTCATTGTGATCGACCAAATTCTTTACAGACTGTTGCTTTACATATGGTTTTGTGGCAGTTGATGCCAAATTTGTATTTGTCAGAGATGCGTCTTTGATACTTGTGCTTGTTGATTTTGGAGGTATCTTACGGCGTTTTTTTGGTGGAGGTTTTAAAGGATTTATGTTTCGTCTTCTAATTTTATTATTACTTCCAATTGTCAATTTTAATCGCGGAATTGGTGGTAAATTATTTTGAACTGTTGTTGGTGGAGTTTCAAGAGTGTGAAAAGCATACATGTTTTGACTGGGAAGCTTTCGTTTTCTTTTCTTTGGCTCAGATATATGAAGTTGATCACCGGAGCTTTCTGTGTCACTATAGTTATATCCACTCATGTCATTGCTCATATTATTATTAACGTTATGTAGATTATTGATTGGCAGTTGTTGTGCATGATGGGCCACCGATGTTTCAGAAGTATCAAGTATTTGCGGAGGTTCTTGCATATTATCATTATTCAAGTTTAATTTTAACGGAGCAACTCTTTGTTGTTGTTGTTGTTGTTGAGGAGTTGGGCTTTTTGATCTTGAGGGTAAATCCTCTTTATTCCAAGTAAGATTTGGAGGCGGTATTGGTTTAAATGGATCATTAAGAGCAGTTTGTGATGCTAAATTATTGTCATCACTTGTATATCCATAAAATTTATTCGGTATTCGTCTCCTTTGAGATCGTTTTATGCCAGATTGTTCATTATCTGAATTCATCCTGCTACTTTGCGCACTCGATACTCGACTAACATTTATATATTCGTTATTAGACTGATCATGTCTCTGCTGAAAGTAATGATGATGATGATGTTGTTCCTTTAAAATCGGCAAGACTGGCTGTTGCTGCGTTGACTGTAAGAGTTGTCTAATTTGATTAGCTTGGTGAAGCTCAATGCGAGGAGGTGCTGATATTGGTGTAGATGTGTGCATAAAAGCTTGACTAAGTCTGCTAGCCTTAAAATTTTGAGGAGTCTCTGGTGGATGTATCAAAGATTGCTGTGGATGAGAATTAGTTGAAAAACTAGTTGACTCGTCATCCTGATTAATGAAAGAACTTTGTTCGCGCTGTGTTCTCTTTGTTGGACTTGAAACTGATTTTTTATGATCTCTTTTTCGCTTTTTTACCTTCAATCTCTTTTCAATTTTCTCATCTGGTGGTAAAGACGGCGTAGACGGTCTACTATTTTCAATTATTACGTCAATATCTCCGAGTTGTTTTCTCTTTTCTGCGAGTGCCTCATTATTTACTTTTAGTGGATGTTCATCATAGAAATCTTCATCTGTATTTGTTTCATCGGTAAGTAGATCTGACTCGTAGATGATATCATCAGGATCACGTGGAAGTTCTGGTTCTTCTGTTTCAATTTGATTTTTCTTTTCCTTCTTTGATCTCTTCTTTGTATATTTCTTATTTCTTGGACGATTAGTATTTGTTGAGGATGCTTCCGATGAGCTAGAATCTGACGTACTGCTACTACTCGAGCTACTTGCACTGGTGCTAGTGTTAGAAGAGTCCGACGAATCACTGCTTGAATCACTTGAAGAGAAATCATCATTCTTTTTTTTTGGTTCTTTTGATTTGTCTTTTTTATTCTTACTTGATGATTTATCACTCTTTTTGCCTTTTCGGTTTATCGTTGCAGATTGAATCACATCTTCTAGATCATCAGTTGTCACGCCGCCTTCTCCAATTGTTGAACGATAAAGTTTTGCGTAGTCATGATCAGACATACATACATGGAGATCAATTTTATCGGGCAGTCTGTCTTCAAAATCATCATCATTCATTGTTGATTCCACTTGAACTTTAGTATTTGTGTTAGGGGATGTCTTCTCATTCTCATTCTCATTAATTTCTGGCTTCACCTCGTTAAGCTCGTTAAAGTTTTTCAAATTTTCTAAAATATTCTGCATTGGTTCCTTTTCATTAGATTGATTATCAGTTTGCATAAATTCTATTTTCTTATCTTCTTTCAGCTTACACTCGTCGTTGTCGTCGTCATCATCATCCGAATCACTTAACGTCGATATTTTATTACTTAGAGGCTTATTATGAATTTCCTTTTGTTCCGCACTATCTTCAATTTGTTTAAAATTGTCATTTTGTTGTAAAGAAATTACAATTTTTGATTGATTATTTTTCTTTTCGTTACGATTATTCTCGTCACTACCATCGTTTGACGATTCCTCAGAACTTTCAGAAAGATTAAGATTTCCTGCTTCTGGCAAATCTAGCAGAGATTTTTTATCCTTATTTTCGTCTTGCTTCATACTATTACCACTTGATTCAATTTTAATTGGCTCGACTATCGGTTCTGCTTCAATTTTTCGAATAGCTGGTTTTTTAATAAAACGCTTAAACACAACAGGAATTGTTCTTGTACAGAATCCATCAGGAATCTCTTGCGGAATTATTACACTGGCTTCCGTTCTTGCTTGATTGCCATTTTCTTGGGCCATCAATTCACTTTGATGCCTCTCCAAGTGCCGTATTAATAATTTTTTCGAAATAAACATTTTTTCACAACTGATCTCAGTACAAGCATACTTTGCACCTTTGTCTTCATGGAGTCGAATATGAACTTTTAGAGTAATGGCACGAGAAAATTGCATCTCACAATGAGGACATGTAAATGTTGCTGGAGGTATACAAAAATGATACACATGAGGCCATTTTTTTTGCAAACATTTTTTACATTCAATTCCTTCTGTTCCATGTTTCCAAAAGAGATGTTTCATTATGTCGGCCTTATTCTGATAAAATATATGACAACGATAACAGATGTGAAGAAGTTTATGCTTCCACACGTGACTTGATAATTTACTTTGATCACAACATTTTTCTAAACAAACATCGCATGCGTAGTGCTTTTTCCTAAGATGTACCATTAAACGAAATGCAGACGGAATATTGTCCATATTGCAGAGGCAGCAATAGAATTTGTAATCATTGAATGTTTGTTTATTTGGAATACCCGGACAAATATGACATAACAATTCACTATAGCTATAGAATCCCATTTTACACATAAGACAATTTATGAGTGATTTTTGGTGCATTTTTCGATTATGCAAATAAAGTTCTTTATGAATTGGAGTTTGAAATCGACATTGAAAACATTCGTATAATTTTTCATGAGAAATTGTAACATGACCTTCTTTCTTTTCAACATCATGGTCATCGTATGTATCCAAATTAAAGAAACAAGTCGAAAGCTCATCTATAGAACCCTCAAATTTCCAAACAAACTTCTCTGGATGTAATTCTTCTGCTGTTATGCTGTCAACTAGTGCATGAAATCGATGATGAGTAATAAAATGTAAAGCCAATCCTTTACCATTTACGACAATTTTCCTAGCATGATTACAATAGAGACAAAATTGAAAAGCAGCATGAAGACAAATTTTCATTAGTTTTAGAATGGGAATTTTATCTAAGCTCTCATTGAGACTAATGTGTATTGGGAGTATATCATCATTTGCAGGAATTATTAGATTTCCATCGATAATTATTTCTTTGGGCTCAAATTTTTCACTTTCACTACTTTCATTGGCCATTGTTGGATCTATAGATGGTTCAATGTCCATAGGCAATTCAGACATGTCTACATCCGGTTGCTCTACATAACTTGACATGTCCTCAGATTCGAGTTTTAATACAGTGGGAGCAGTTGCTGAGTAATCAAAATTCTCAAGCACACTTTCTGGATTGCTTGTTAAATTTTTAATCTTTAATTTCAAACACGGCATATTTTCTGGTCGCTTTTGTTGAATCATATCTAAGCTCTCCAAATCCTTTTTAGTTTGAGAGTCATCATTATTCGAATCGCTTAACGATGATGAATATTCATTTATTGAATTTGACAAGTTTTTGTTTTTGTTTTCATCTATTTTATCTTTGTCAATATCACTATTGTCAGATCCACTCTCAATATTGCTATCGTCGTTGTCTTCCTCATCACCGCTATCCTCGTCCGAATCTATATTATCAAACTGTTGCTTTTGAAAAGCCTTCGGAATTTTGAGCGTTAATTTTGGCACAATCATTTTTTCATTCTCGATCGTAGGCTTTTGCTCCTCTACGTGCCATGGTGGATTATCGTTATCATTATTTTGAACTTCTTGTGGCACACTTTGACTAGATTCTTCATTCGGTTTCGTTGATTCTATAATTACAAAAATGTATAATATACACATTATTTGTATAATGTACCGTTTTTTTCGTTATAAGCTAGTAGCTTAGTAGATTGAAAAAGTGATTTTTTTGGCTCACTAGTAGCTTAGTAACGAGTAGGAGCTTAGTAAAAAAATTGAACTTCAATGAAAAATTTCAATTTTTTAACTTAATTAAACAAAATTGTGGTATCTTCTCGATTTCATTTCATTGACAATGTCGTAAGGCATTGGAACTAATACTTAGAAAGTGGAAAAAGATTAATTAAACTATATTTTTGATACTATACTATACTATACTTAGTAAAGATTCCAAAAAAAAATCAAGTTCAAATAAACTCTACTAAGCTAGTAGCTTAGTAACGAGTGGTAGCTTATAACGAAAAAACAAGGTATATATAGGGCCTCGACGATTTTTTAAGCATTTTTGCTCAACAACTTCAAAACTAAATTTGAATTTTATACTAATACTGTTGCTTGTTAAAAAAATCGTTAACTCCTAATGTTTAATAATAGTTAAAATACAATGGAGATGGTCTGCTAAAGTCAAACTTTTAGAGCTATTTGCTTATTGACTCGCATTTTGATTCTAATCAAATGTTCCAAACACAAGCACAAATGAAATGTGAAAAGTCATGAAAATATCACTTAATACTGAAGTTCAAGCTTCTGAAATATTTGGAATAGCTTTATTTTCGTGCATAGAGGCACAGGAATTATTTGGGATATTTAGAATAGCTTCCAAGGCTTGGTTTTTATTGTAAAGGTAGGTAAGTGTAAAATTTAAATTTAATTTTTCCGTTGAGCAAAAATCCTCAAAAAACGTCGAGACCATATAAGTATACCTATGTATTATATATACTTATAACATATATTGATCTATAAAAAATAAAGATTTTTTTTTCATTACCTCCGTTGAGATTTGGTGGTAACCTTTGCATATTTTCTTTTTCAATATTAGAATCATCATCTTTGGCTGGGCTTAACTGATTCACTGTCGATTGTGTCAATTTATCAACATAGTTTGTAGTCTCGCTGTATACAGCCGAATTGGAGAAATCATTTTTAAATACATTCGTTTGAACGACTCCTTTCAACGATGAGTGTTTTTCATTGCGATCACAACAATGAGAAAGAAAATTATTGTCGTTAATAACGAATGTCGAGCTGCATTTACAACAAACAGCTTTAATTACTTTGGACACAGTTTCTGTTTTTTTAAGATCAAAATAATTTCTCAAAGTGTATTCATTAAAGAATGACGTATTTTGCACTTTGTGCTTTTTAACTAGATGATTTTCTAAACATTCAATTTTTACAAAGAATCCATAGCAGTAAAGACATGTAAATTTAGCATGCACACTTTTCATATGATTAAAAAGAGTTTGTCTCAAGAAGTACTCATTGCACTCACTGCACCAAAATAATTTTTGTTTAGAAAAGTTTTTAGAACTTTTTTTTTCGCCATTCTTATTGGAACTCAATGTAGCATTTACACTATTATTTTCCAATATTGATTTTGATAAATTATTGTTATTATTAGTTTTAGTGATTGCATTATTGCCAAATAATGTGTTTATTGGTAATGCACTGCTGTCATTATTATTATTATTCAGATATTCACTGTTGTGTATTTTTTCGTTATTTATATTCAGATTTGCTACTTCAGGATCGCTATTCAAAAGCAACTTTTTTAATTTGCTACTTCCAGGTGATAAATAATCGAAAACTGGATCTTTTTCCGGCAAAATCAAGCTCTTATTTATGGTGGCTGTTGAGTTTGACAAATCATTGAAATCGAAAAACTTTTGTGTCTTTTTTATATCATCTATGCTGTTAGCTCTTTCGGCTTTATCTGGTGACTTTTCCTTATTTGTGATATTGTCTATATTGTCAATTTTCATGTTCTTAATATAACAAATGTTTTCTCTACAACAAAAGTAGAAAAATAAGACTCATAAATATAAATTAATTACTTATACATTTATCTGTCACTTACCTACTTCTGAAATCATTTGTGTTAACGGCAATTTAGTGAACCCTTTGTCGATCTGTAAGTTTAAAAGAAAAATTAACTAATGACAATAGCATAATAAGCTTCAATTACTCACCAACTTGATTTACTTATAATTAATGAAATTTTTTATAGAAGACTAATGCTCATCCTCCAGAAATCCAAGCCTATTTTTTTTCCTGCTATGCTGTTTCTTGCTTCCAGTTTATTAGTCACACTTGCTAGAATCACATGCAAAAGAGAGGAGAATATGAGAAAATGTTTAATTTACACTCATAACCTCGCTGATTTAAAGCAAATAAGCAGAAAAGTGGACGATTGTTTTCACATCCAAAATGTTTCTATGCTTGCTTCTTAATTCATTATATTTTGCTTGTACATCTACTACACTGAATTCAGATTTTTTTTCTTCTTTTCATCAGCGTATAACATTTTTTTTTCTCTCTTTTTCTATAGTATGACGCTATTTTTATAAAGTATAGAATTTCATAATTCTAAATTATGTTCTTAACCAGCATCTTATCATTCACTAACATTTTTGCTGCCTTCAAAGTCAATTTATGTTGGTTTTAATAGCTTCCTATTGATGTTTTAACACTGTTTAATATCAAATTTAGAAAAAAATATTTTTTCTGCGTTTTGCCTTATTGAAATTTCGCGTTTTTGCTTCCTTTAGCGTGATTTGTTTTCTAAACACATGCAGAATTTAAATTTAAAAAAAAAAAACGTTACGGTTTTATTCAAATAATTTTTTTGTTTTGCTTTAATAAACTAGTATTTAAAACGTTTAATACAATAAAGGTATTGTTTAATCGATTAATGTCTGTGTCATTCACATATAAATCTAATTTGATTTAAATCCATAATATTCAGGAACTTTTATGATCTATGATGAGTATAAAACGATGATAAAGCCGCATATTTAGCACAGTTTACTCCCTACGTTCGTATTGTATACATAAAGTAAACATTAAGTATAAGTATATAAAAATTTAATCGCATTGGGAGACTGACGTGGTATTAACATAATTTCCTTAAAAAGTACAGGATTTAAATAAAATATTACTTTCAAAATGATTTTAAAAGCTCTTGTCATTGTAATATTAATTATTGAAACCTTTTCTACAAATCCAGAAGAAGAACTACACGGAGTTAAGTAAGTCTTAAAAAAATACCAAATATTGATAATACATTTTTAAAACCAATTAAATAGATACGCAAACAACTGTGAAGCTTGTAAGGTATTAGCTATTGAATTGCAGAACAGATTGTCTGAAACCGGTAAAACTCATGAAGTTTTAGAATTTGGGTGAGGACTTTTTAAGAAGACATTAAAATGAAACGATCGATCTAAGCCTCTACACACTTTTTTTAAGGTATTCGTTGGATGAGACAAAAAAGAGAAAAAAGGAATATAAAAAGAGCGAGACAAGATTAATTGAATCCATGGAGAATGTTTGTGAAAGAATTTTAGAATATAATATTCATAAAGAACGAAAAGATAGTACTCGCTTTGCAAAAGGAATGAGTGAAACTTTCCAGACGCTTCACGGGCTTGTTAATAAAGGTGTGAAGGTAGAGCTAGGGATTCCGTTTGAACTATGGGATAAGCCATCTGCGGAAGTAACTCAATTAAAAACACAGTGCGAAATGTTAGTAGAACGTCATGAAAATGACATAGAAGATTGGTACTTTAAATTCCAGTCAGAGGGACCACTGATTGATTATCTCTGTCGTGATCGCGTACTTGCTAAAAAGGATGCTGAATGCTTATATGAAGTTCTAAAACCAAAAGAAAAGAGAAATGCTGAGGAACAAAAAACTGATGATGAAACTAAAGAGGAATCAGAAACTGAGTCATCAAATAAAGCCTCTGATGAGCTGTAATTTAATACATTTCAATTTATACATTGTATTTTTATTTAAAAAATAAATTCAAGTTATTTCTTCCTTTTTTTGCCATTTAAATATAGTTTTTTTTTTATTTTTCTTAAAACAAAAATGCGCTAAAAAGTAATAAATGCAGGATAGCTGACAAAGAAAATCTTATCTCGAATCAAAGATCTGTCAAGAGATGTTGCGATAAAAAAAGAAAGGAACGAATACCAAATTGTGCCTCGAATAGCATTTTTAAAACCAGCTAATTAAGCAATCGAGACCAATCATGGTTGATAAGGTTGTCGACAAAAACTCAAATTAAAGAAAAATCCATTTTCAATAAGTTTCAAATTTTTCTAGAGACCATTCATAATCTAATCAAGAACGAAAGGGAGCAATAAAATTAATAGCTTTAATTGATAAGCCAATTGATTATAAGAAAAAAAATATACAGAGCAATTTTTCAATCCCTAAAGAGCTGCAACAAGCAAAACATTTCCGAGTAATAACTATGTAAATAACAACAAAGCTTAAAAAGCATTTAGATTTGATGTTTTTTTTATTCTTTTATTTTATCGCAACTTCAATTATGTTGGAATAAATTTGTAATAATCATACAATTTAAGATTTTTTGCAATTTATTTCTTGTATCCACATGATGTTCTGCGACCTCTGGCGCGTTCAAATTTGCGTCCCTTGGAACGAACATAAGGTCTTGAATGAGAATGAGGTACACCAGGAGCTTTTCCAAAGTGACGAACTGACTCGCGAGCATTTCGTTTTCCTTGAATAAGAATTGTGTTCTTTCCAGTTGGTGACAACAATGCCAATTGATCAAATGTTAAAACTTCTCCACCAGCCTTAACAATACGCTCGCGAGCACGTTCACTAACTCTCAAAGCACAAATGCGTACTTTTGGAACATTTAAAATTCTCAAATCATTTGTGACCTTTCCAACTATTACAGCTATTGTATTCTCCTTAGCCTGTCGTTGTTTTACCAATCGTAATACGCGTTGCAACGAAATAACTGGACGATTGATTTTGCTCATGAAAAGTCTGCGCAATACAATTTTATTAAACTTTTGGTGTGTACGACGGTACAAGAAGCGATAAAGCTAAAAAAATGAAGACAAAAATTTTGTTTATGCACTTTAAGGTTATGTATTTCAGCGATATTTTCTCAATCAAAATATAATCTAATTTCAAATAACTATCGATTTAGTAAAGCAAAACCAATGGATTAATGGTTATTTTATGTTTCTTGGAAGAACAGAATGTAAAATAACACTTACCTTCACAAGTAAACGCAAATAAACATCTTGCGATTTAGGAGATGTTCTACGGACTTTTCTGTCCCACTTATGGCTGATATCTTTGCCCTATAATAAGAAACTCGGATTAATAATCATAGTTTAGGTACTTAAAACAACAATTAGAGTGGTTTCAACATTTTAAATCCACTAAAATTAACAAAAAAAATTAATTTCTATTAAAATAAACTTTTACCATTTTCACGAGTTATTCGAAAAGAATTCATAAACGCTGATATTCCCCTAAAGTTGCTGAAATGTTTTCCCCTAAGAATAATTTGAAATAAATTTATACGTTAGCTTTATTACTAGCATGAGACGATTCCACGCATTCGATTAATCTCTCACGTATATTTTATTTATTCCAAAATTAAGAGTGTGGAAACAGGAAGATGAGTCATTAAATTAAAAATAATAAAAAACATTGAATGGAAGCGCTTTGTTTATGCTATATTAAAAATTAAGATCATATACATAATTAGTTTTAGTAGCTCTCAAAGGAAAACATTTGAATCATAAAGCCTTACAAGCTAGTAATATCACAGTTTTTGTGGAATTTCCTTCAAATCAAATATCATACTATATTTATAATACTAGAGATTTTGGCTCTAAAGCTTCTCACTATATTACGGTAATGAAATAAGCGCAGAACTGTTGCTCAAAAATGAAGCCATGGCCTGATAGCTAAACTGTAAATTTAAAATAGTAGAGATATAGTAAAATGAGATGTAGTTTACATAAATAGAACACATACTTGTGAAAAGTGAGGCTCCTCCTGAATGGATTGCAACTGTACTCCAGGATCAGGTGGAGTCAATTCTACACTCTCTCCTGTGAATTCCGAATCAAAGTATCGTGTGTCTGTATCTGAGGTTACTTGTGGTTTGAATGGTGGAACAATCTTTTTATTGACCAAATCAGCCCAATTGATATTTGCAAAGAATGCATGAGCCATGATTTCTCTCACATCATCAGGACCTCCGCCTAAACGCTTTTGTGGGTTCTTTTCTAAAAATCCACTCAGCAAAGATCTTGCTTCTGACGAAATATTTCGTGGAAATTTCACTTCGTCCATCATTATCTGCTTAAACAATATGTCGTGATCGCGATTGTCAAATGGTAATCTTCCACATATCATTTCATACATAACAACACCAATTCCCCACCAATCAACTGCCCTTCCATAATCGTTATCTTCCAACATTTCTCTAAAATATCTCCTTTAATTATTTTTTCAAATTAATATTCATATTCAATGTAATTTTCTTACGGTGCTAGATATTCGGGAGTACCACAAAAAGTATTTGTTGTACGATCATACGTAATGTCTTCCTTGCACAATCCAAAATCGGCAATTTTTATGTGACCATCTTTATCAAGGAGCAAATTTTCCAATTTCACGTCTCGATAAATGATATTGTGCGAATGTAAGTACCTAAGTGTTTATAATACAGTACCGTTCAAAACTGTTTCCATGTTTCATGAAAATTTTTCTTTCCAACATATTTCTTATAAAACTTAATATTTTCCCAACATGTTATATATCGTTTTAAAGCTTGTTTAATAAGCTATTTAAAAATGATAAGCAACTTTGCAAAATATTTAATTAAAGTAGATTTTTTTCTTAAAATATACACTGTCACATGGAAACACTTTTGAGCTAATAATTGTTTTTCCAAATTTTGATGCATAGCAGAACAAATTGATTAAAGTTTGTTTATTATAGTAAAAAGCAAGTAAAATATTAGATAAAAGCACATAAATTAAGTTGCTAGACATAGTTGAAATGTTTAAATAAGAATGTCAAATCACATGATAAATTTTCATATAATTTTGCAAAAAATTACTGAATTAAAGCCAAATGTTGTGATGTTTGCATCTATACAAATGTAATTTAGCTTATTAAATCTGAAAAACAGTTTTTAATTGTAAATAGAAGCATTTGAAAGCAAAAAAATTGATAAGATTTCATGGAAACACTTAAATTTTCTTACTTGCAAACACAAATATTCAAAATTTTTTATTACTTCCTCCACTTCAATCAACTTTAATCGCTTTTTCTGATAGATTTTATGTTAACAAAGAAAACCATATATGATTTATGTAGTCATTGTGAGAGTAAAAGGATTTTTTTTACAATTTTGTTGGTCAATGACAGCCATATTCAAAATTTTACACAAGCATTTCCAAAAATTCAATTTTTTTACGTAAATATCGACTTAAGATAGTCAAATATGACAATTTATTAATATGAATTGGATTTTTAAATAATTTTAATCATTTTGCGTTGTCTTAAGTCGATATTTACGTAAAAAAATTGAATTTTTGTAAATGCTTGTGAAAAATTTTGAATATGGCTGTCATTGACCAACAAAATTGTAAAAAAAATCCTTTTACTCTCACAATGACTACATAAATCATATATGGTTTTCTTTGTTAACATAAAATCTATCAGAAAAAGCGATTAAAGTTGATTGAAGTGGAGGAAGTAATAAAAAATTTTGAATATTTGTGTTTGCAAGTAAGAAAATTTAAGTGTTTCCATGAAATCTTATCAATTTTTTTGCTTTCAAATGCTTCTATTTACAATTAAAAACTGTTTTTCAGATTTAATAAGCTAAATTACATTTGTATAGATGCAAACATCACAACATTTGGCTTTAATTCAGTAATTTTTTGCAAAATTATATGAAAATTTATCATGTGATTTGACATTCTTATTTAAATATTTTAACTATGTCTAGCAACTTAATTTATGTGCTTTTATCTAATATTTTACTTGCTTTTTACTATAATAAACAAATTTTAATCAATTAGTTCTGTTATGCATCAAAATTTGGAAAAACAATTATTAGCTCAAAAGTGTTTCCATGTGACAGTGTATATTTTAAGCAAAAAATCTACTTTAATTAAATATTTTGCAAAGTTGCTTATCATTTTTAAATAGCTTATTAAACAAGCTTTAAAACGATATATAACATGTTGGGAAAATATTACGTTTTATAAGAAATATGTTGGAAAGAAAAATTTTCATGAAACATGGAAACAGTTTTGAACGGTACTGTATATTGAGATATAATGAATGGGCTAGAAATATATTATAATTTTTTTATTATTGAATTTATGGCATTACCCAAGAGCTAAAGAAATTTCAGCTCCATAGAATCGTGTGCGTTCTTCAGAAAATGTTTTTTCATTCCTGAGATGAAAATATAATTCCCCGCCATTAACGTACTGTAATATGATTGAATAATTAAAAGAAGAAAATGACTATTAAATATCTTGGCAAATCACCTGCGTTACAAAGCATAGCCTTTCGTTAGTTCGAAATGAGTATCGCAATGACTAGAATATTCAAAAAAGTATTAAGCAGTATTGAGATTGAAAAAAATAAAAAGTTAAATTTAGGCTTTGATTACAATTAAGAATGGGTGGTTAGTTTTTCTTAAAACACGATTTTCTGCCATTGTATGCTCAACTTCACTTTTTTGAATGATTACTTCCTTTTTTAAAATTTTTATGGCATACAACTTTGATGTTGATTTTTCTCGGCACAAAATGACTTTTCCAAATGTTCCTTTTCCAAGTACTTTCAAGAACTCAAAGTTCTCCAATGTCTAAATATTTTGTATAGTTATTGATTAAATTTTTTCTATCAGCATAAGACTTTTAAATCAAAACTTACAACTTTCCTTCTTCCGCTCACTTTTCCAGTAGAAGTTCCTTGCAGAGAAAATTTTTCATTTAATAAGGCGTCTTCTGCAATAGGAACCATTTCTACGTCTTCATTTATTTCAGCTTGCTGTTTTTGTTGATCAATTTCACTTAGATGATTTGCAACACTCCTAAAAAGAATATATTCTTTGTAATTAGCAAAAAAAAGATATTTAAAAAAAATGTGTTACCTTATAGCTTCAACCCACTGAGCCCTTTCATGCTCCGTTTCGACATAAAACATTCTTTCAATAACTGTAGTCCATTGCAATCCACGAATTATAAAAGTAAATGGACGAGGTCGATCAACAGACATAATTTGACATCGTGCAACAGTAAAATTATTTGAAGGTTCTGAAGGAATTGATGCATCTGGTCGATTTTTGTACCCAACAAGAGAACCATCTGAACGCAAAATAAAATATCGTGATCGCCAATTCTTAATGTGTTCACCACGTTTGTATAGCCAACCTTCTTTAATAATTTTACGAGAATTTACATCAATATTTTTAGAAATCAAGTCGGGAAGTTGACTTGAGTCAATTGATGTTGATGCAAGAGACATTTTTCTTTAGTAATTCTTAATATTTCTTAAAGTTTCTTTTCTTTTATACAAAACGAAATTCACATTTCCTAATGTAAAGGATATATACTGTTTTACTTTGATTCGCCAGCTTTTGGTCAATGATTTATTTATATCTGTCTTCTGAAAAAATGCAAGTGATTATATTAGAGTTATGAACATTAATTGTTTATAAAAACATATACAATAGTAAGAAGAATAGTAAGAAAAATAGTAAGTTTTCAGAAGAGTTCAGAGAGTTTCCAAAAAATTAGAACGTATACATGTATGTACACCTGGAAATATATTTTTATATTCACACCGTTTTCACGTGTGAATCTATTGGTTTTGTTCAGATTGAAAAATCAGTTTTTCGCATTTTGCGAGGAAATCGAGCTAAGCTATCTTGCTAGCTGTCGAAAGATGAAAAGCAAGGGTCAGACACTCCAAAAGTATTGTAATGTATTGAACAATACTTAACAATACATATGAAAGTATTGCAAGTATTGTACAATACCCAGGGGGGGGGGGGGGGGGACAGAGCAAAAATTGCTATAAAAAAAACCCAAAAATGTTTACTGTGATGAAATTTCCAAGACTCCACTGTGTATTGGAAAAAAAAATTGTCGAAAAATGAAATTTTCGCAATACTTCCTTCCGATGCAGTTTAGGACCGAAATTTTTGATTAGAACTGATGAGAATCATGATTTTAGACCTTTGACATCCAAAAATGTTTACTTTGATGCTTCAGTTCCTTTCATTAAATTTGACTTTTTCAATTTCGTTTGTGGAGTACTTGGAAATTTCATCACAGTAAACATTTTTGGGTTTTTTTTCATAGCAATTTTTGCTCTGTCCCCCCCTGACAATACCTACAATACTTACAATACTTGTATGACAAGTATTGTAGGATTGTACAATACTTACAATTCTTACAATACTTGTATGGAAAGTATTGTAGTTTTTACAAGACAGTTT